AAATTTATGCATTGCATAACTTCATTGTTTACTTAACTATTGAGAAATAAGTAAGGAAATAAAAACATTCCTGTCATTCAGGAGGGCTTAATATCCAACTACCCATGGATGTCGTGTACGAGGGGTCAGATTCACTTTACAATATTTTTCTGATATTATTAAACTTACATGATGAAATAATACGGATTAATATATTTAAGTGCCAAGCATATTTGTGTTGAATGTTGCTGTTTACTTTTATGCCTGACATAAAATGAATCTTTTCCTTTAAGGGCAAAACATATAAATTCACATCCTCCGACTACTGACCTCATATCCATCAGAGATGACCCCGTTCTCTTACAAGAATCTAGCCTCACAAATCTAACAAAGGAGATATTTTCTACTATTTCCCAAAACAGGCCAAATATATTTTTTTCTCTTTTGTTCTTTCTTTCTAAATCATTTTTTTTCGATTTTTCTTCTCTAATTATATAGGTTTGCGTTTATTCTTTCAGACGAATTCGCTGATTAATTAACTTAAATATATAGAAAGATGAGATATCTTTAAGAAAAACTTTAACATTAAACAACTGTAAATATCAATATTTCAGTTATCATTACTCAGTAGATTAATAGGTCTCGGTCTGTTAACATAGGAAGCAAGTTGTAAAGGAAACACGTTGCGCAAATGTAAATCTGTTTTGAATAGTGCTTAGAATTCAACTTCCCGTTGAACTGAACAGTTGTTAAACCCATTATGGCCGTCAATTCTGCGACAAGGCTGACGGTTTTTGGTCCTCCTGGACATCCAGGATTAAAACATCGGGTTTAATTGTATTCGTAATTACATTTGAAAAACATAGAACAAAGCATTGTTTTTATAAAATCATGCGCGTTGTAATAAAATTCCAAATTAAAAAAATGATAGAAACAGTGTGAATAATAAAATGACATTACACGGGTGAACGTAGATAGTATGAGAAAAAATACAAAAAATGAAACTATCTAAGCGCAGTTTTTAATTGCATTGTATCGTATAGTAATTCCTGTCATATAAGATGTTGTAGGGAGGTTCTATATAGATAGCAAAATAGCACTAGCGAACCTCCATTATATTTTTAACATAACAAAATTATAAATAAATTACAAGAAATTTAAAATTAAAATACACTAATTAAATTTATCTGTTCAATCGGGCGATCAGTCCGTCAATCCAGGGGTGATGACGGGGGTGATCGTTCACAGATGAAGGCAGGTTCCGATGAAGACGGTCTGGGATACCTTCCAGCTGCTGGCAATTTAACCTCAAGAAGATGATAGGATTCCTCAGGTGAACTAGGACTCTACAATGATCCAAGAGGTCAACTTAAGACGATTGGAAAGCTTAAGGTCTGGTGATCTATCGGGCTCGAAACAGGAAGAGGAACCTGATGACGATGGCGACGGTGAAAACTTATTGTAAAATTAATTAATCTTTATGTGAGGTATTGGTTGAGATAAAAAAGTCAGTGTCACGAACGGGATTCGAAGCCACGTCCTTCGGCTAAATACGCCGCTGCTCTACCACTTGAGCTATTGCAACTTCGATCCACTCGGACACTAACTTCATTAAAGCCCTCCGTGGCCATTTCATTTGTCGCCGAATCAAATAGATCACACGACATTTGAAAAATGGCAAAAAGGAGGGAAAATTGAAAAGGTTGGTTTGAGGCAGTTAGTGTCCGAGTGGATCGAAGTCACGATTTTTTGTCTCAACCAATACCTTGCATAAAGAATAATTAATTGAAAGATGTTATTTGGTCAATCGGGCCACGAAATCTAATGAATTTATTGTAAAATCCTGAAGAGTCCAAGAGGCCACACGAAGTACAAGAATGTTAAACCTAAACTTTGTATTTATAAAAAACCAAAACAAACCTTTTTCCTACTACCAGTCCAAAAGGAATTTACTGTGCACATAAAAACGGAATGTTTAAAGCGCATGTTCCAGTCATTGGAAATGAGCTGGCAGATAAATACGCTAAAAAGGCGGACTTGGATGAAGACTTGGCTTCCGTGTTCACACAGGTACTGGTAACATACCTCAAAAACATGATCAGAGAAGGACTTTGTCGAAATGGGAGGAATGGGTTTCTTCCGGCGCTTCCGGCGTGGGACTTACAACCAACAAGTTCTTCCACACAGTGGCTTCAAGGATGCATTTACGGATGACACCCAGGTGTACAACAACGATGGTACTTACAGAGCACGGTGAAAGACGTGCTTATCTAAGCAGGTTCCATATTATTGATCCCTGCCAATGTGATTGCGGAGTTGAGCCCCAAGCCTTTAACCACTTGGTCTACCAATGCAAAACGCAGAAGCACCGTTGAACGATTCTCATGCGGAAAGTCCTCCTCGGCGGATATGAATGGCCACCAAAGGAAACCCTTTTACAGAAATACAAAGATGATCTGGATTTATTTTTGAATTCAATAGACTTGAATTTAAATTAGTAACAATATGTGATAAAATTGTGTTAAGAACAAAAGTGCTGTAAATAATTATTCAGAAATCGTGAGAAGCGGTCTGGTGTGATGTAGGTTTGTAGGGCACTCTCAACACGACACGCAAGAATGGCACAATTACATAGAAGACAAACAATTTGAGCCCTGAAGATGATCTCAATAAAGATCGAAACGTTGGCACGATAAAGAAAATGTTTTTCTGAAACCTACATCACACCAGACCGCTTCTCACGATGTATGAATAATTATCGATCAACGGTCACTAATCACCACACAGTGCTGTAAATGTTAGATTTAACAACTTCTTCCATTTTAAAACTTTACACTAAATTAAAAATAAATGAAAAACGTAAAAAATAAAAATAAAATACAAATGTTAACTTCCCGTAATCTTAGGGAATAGTACATGGCACTAAACGCTCTGTTTGTTGGGTTACTGGAAGAAGAGAAAAAAAAGATGTTGAAGTGCTAATATCCGTTAAAACATTTCATATTATTCACAATCAAAATCTATGTGCTACACCTGGATTCGAACCCAGGACAAGCGTGGCAAATAGGATTCGGTTGCCCTAACCACACGGCCACCGTTAACCGCTTCTAATGGCCTTCTAAACCGTTGGAATTTTCCGAACATGGACATCCAATCCACTCGACTATTTTCTGTGGGGCCAATTAATTGTGTTGTTCATGCAGATTGGTGAAAAATGAGATTTTCATGTAATTTGCTCGTTCCTGATCAGGTTGGTCAGACGCGTTTTTACATACCGCCATCTCACCTGATGATGACAAGAGGACGATATTCTCGGATTTTCCTCGGCCCACGTTCGAACATTCCAACGGTTTAGTGTGACATTGGATTAATCAGTCCATAGGATGTATGGAAGAACGTTTTCTTCAGCCTCCCAAATCGGCATTTGTGCAAGGAATAGACGCCTGGCGCCCCGAAGTTCCAGGACCAGATTAAGCGATGAAGCTTAAAATTGTAAGTCCGGAGTACATCCCTAATTTTATTGTTTGAAAAACCTAAAACCCTCAATTTCGGAAGGAGGAATTCGGATTTTTGTAAACATACAGTACAATCCATATATGTTTAATAGTGTAATTGACCATTTTAATTATTTTAGTTAATTATTCTGTTTATTTAAGGTCTTGGTTGAGATGAAAAAGTTAGTGACACTAGCGGGATTCGAACCCGCGACCTTCGGCTCAATACGCCGCTGCTCTAACAACTTGAGCTATCGTGACGTGGTTAGAGCAGAGGCGTATTGAGCCTAAGGTCGTGGGTTCGAATCCCGCTAATATCACTAACTTTTTCATCTCAACCAAGAACTTACATAAAAAGAATATTTAACTGAAATACATCCTAAATGTATTTGTTAAATGTAAACATTGTTTGTAAATCCCAGGCCCTGAAGATGATATCAATAAAAGATCGAAACGGCACAATAAAGAAAATGTTTTTCTGAAACCTACATCACACCCGACCGCATCTCACGATATCTGAATAACTATCGATTAACGGTCACTAATCTCTACACATACAGTAGAATATTCAGCTCCTCGTCAACATTACACTGCCGGATTCTTTTTGCTATAATTTGTCATTTTTGAATTCAAAATCCGATTGCACTAATGTTTTCAGCGTAAAAAAATCCTTTAAAATTATGTGGCAGGATATATAGAGCCTTAATTATGAAGTTGAACTGGGCATGAGTACCCTGTATAATTCTACTCCAAAAAGAGGTAATAATTTGAAACTAGACTAATAAATTTTAAACACTTTTTTTTTTAGAGGTTCAAGGAAATTCAGCCTGGTAGAAGAATGTAGAAAGGACACCTTATATATCTTGCACATTGTTACATGTTACCTACTTGAAGGTAGCTGTAATGCACTAGAAACTTTTAAAAAAATTGGTAATACTTAGCAGTTGTGAAAAATGACTTAATGAACAACTAGGATTAAAAAGTAGGTAAACAAAAACGTTAAGAAAATGAAAAACAATGGAAAAAAACAGATAAACGAATTTTCAAAAAAAATTGATAACAATTAGCAGTTGTAAAACATGACTTAATGAACAACTAAGATTAAAAACGTAGGTAAACAAAAACGTTAAGAAAATGAAAAACAATGGAACAACAGACAGACGAATTTTAAAAAAATTGATAATAGTTAGCAGTTGTGAAATATGACTTAATGAACAACTAGCATTAAAAAATTAGGTAAACAAAAACGTTAAGAAAATAAAAAACAATGGAAAAATTAGACAGACGAATTTAAAAAATAAAAATTAATACAGGGAGGATAAGAATATAAGGCATGATACACAGGCACATTAAGAAAGAGATACAAAAACGTTAAGAAAATGAAAAACAATGGAAAAACCAGACAGAGGAAGTCAGAAAAATAAACATTAACTCAGGAAGGGTAAGAATATAAGGCAAGATATACAGACAAATCAAGAAAGAGTTTTATAGTTCAACAGAAAAGAGCAATATTTAGAACTAAGAATGAATGTATTGACAGATATAGCAAAGTTTCATAGATATAGCGAACAAAGTTCATGACAAGAGAAAAGCACGCGGTAGAGAAAGCAAATCAAATAAACGCAATAAGTAGAAAAGGGGACTGAGAAGAGAAGAAACGGTCAGACTACGAAGTGAGGCGGAATTGGAGTGAGAGAGTGACAGAGGGTAAATGACACCATTATTTTAAGGTCACCTCGATTTCTACAAGACTGACAGATTATGCCATTCCGACTACTGTAACAGTGGCCTTCCCGTGCCATATACTTGTCAGCTTTTATCCAGAAATTCTATCACCTCCACGGTAAAAGGTGAAGAGAGGAGAGATCCCACCATACGACCTACCCGAAAACTTTCTTCTACCCGGCCTTCACCTTGTTCTTCGTGTGGCTGGTGGGGATTAGCGGTTGCACGGAGCCGTTCTACACCGGCAGTCTGTGTTCCACTTCGGCGTCAGTCATGAAGCCGGTCCGGCTGTTTTTTAACGTTTTCTCTTTGTTCTTTCTCCTCGGACCCGGAGCGTCTCAGTCCGACATGCCCTCTTTTAAACCGTACACGGGGGCTAGAGTGTCTAACAATTCCAATTTGATTGTATTTCACTGCGAGCAGACGATCGCCGTCGTCGAACTGAAAATGAAGAGGTTTATTGAGAACTGCGAATTCATCGAAGTCGTGTATGTACTCATTGTTAACACAATCTATACAAAATTTCCATTAAAAATGAGAACGACAATGTTTACAACGACTGTGCATACACTTCGTACTACTATTTGTTTGTGTTTATATTTAATAGAGCATTATCTTCTCAAATGGAAAATTCATCTGCAAAACTTACGTTTACAATCATTTCGCTGTTTATAAACCTGCTACCCAGCGTTTTTGCCTTCATCAAAGATAAACAAATTTAAAAAATTAATAAATCGAAAAATATAGAAGATAATCAATAACTATTAGATGGTACCAAACTAGAACGAAAGTTTCTAAATCTTTTTCTTGCAACGGTACAAGGAGTGCAGGCGAACAAGGAAACATATTCGAAAATACGTTTTAAACAGTCAAATAGATAATATAAAAAAGATCATTAAAAAATCCGCAAAACAGAATGTTCAAACTTGATTTGGTTAATTCACTTATCTTTCATATTTGTTTACAGTAATAAATAGATCGTATTGAAAAGAAAAGAACACAATATTGTACTATAATTTCACAGACAAAGAGATATTTACTCTCTACTGACTCTCTAAAAAACTTCTACTTGTTCAAAACTCTCTCTTTTTACCCTTCCTTCGTCGAAATGCACTCTTCCTCAATCTTTCTTTCTTCTTCTTCTTCTCCCTTATTTTGTTTGTGTCTCTGTTTCTGATTGCGCAAAAAAAATGACTTTTGATATTTGATGTTTTATGCGGTGCAACTGAATTATCGAAAATAAATGTTGACTACTGGCAGAAATAATCCAGCTACTTTGAAATCATTTATATCTATTACGCTTTTCATTAAACGTATTTGTGCAAAAAAAATTGTTTTACGTAATTAGGTGACCCGTGAACAACGTGGTCCACCAAGTCCACCAAGCTGCTCCCTTATTGGTTATTTGGTTATTGGTATTTAAAAGTTATAGATTAGAAAATAAATATTTTCTATGTTCTATGGCATGTTTATGGTAAAGAATGGTTGATTTTCTACATTTTCTGACAAGTTCAATCTTGAAAAATGAACTTATTAGGATTTAAAATTTGTGTATTAGAAAACAAAAATTTTATAGGCCTGTTAAATTCGCTCTCCCTCACTCCTCTCTCGGTCACTCTCTCTCCCCCTCTCTCTCTTTCTCTCTCCCTCTCTCTCTCTCTCACTCTCCCTCTCTCTCTCTGCTTTCTCTCCCTTTCTTTAGATTCATATATACATATTGTATGTAACAACTTTTTACTTCTTTATTAAATATCTGTTTTTTAGTAATATTTTTTATTTAATATTTAATTATCGACGCAGACCCACAGTGGTTCAATCAGTGAATGTAGTTTTAACGCAGGAATAATTCCAATAGCTGAAATTATTATCAGCTAGATTCCATACCAAGAATTATTATTATTTATGTGTAAGTATAATTGAAGAAGACATATTATGAATTACAAAGGTTTGTTTTAGATTGACAGATTTATTTGTTGAATTGCGTTTTCAGCATTGCGTAATATAAACGAATATAAATTTATGTTGGTTTTTAACAAGCGTACACTTCGGATGAACATGAACGGCATTAAAAGGGAAAGGGGTTAAATAAACCTTTCACAAACTCTGAAGCAACGATGGTAGGTAAACTTGTGGCTCGTTACATAATTTAGGAACTTTGTCTATTAAAGGTTCACCGCTTTCATTGCATTTAAATTAGTAATTGAGAGTGATGTTACCTTTATCTGACTGTTTACCCTTAAACGCCTTTATCTCAAGACGTTAAATCCAATTGGGGCCGGGTTCTCGTTCGCGAGATAAAAGTTTTCCGATTCGATTAAGATCTTAAGTGCAGGCGGAATAATTAACAATAATAGGCTGGATTAAGGGAATTAAAATGTTGTTGTTTTTTTCTTTACCAATCCAGTTTGGCTTGTTGGGATAAAAGTTAGGTAGAGTCAAGAATTATTATTCACAAGTTTTTTAAGATATCAAACCAAACATATTTTGAATATTTACACCTTGTAATCGTGTATTTAGCAAAATAAAATATAAAAGAAAAATTCTGATTATGCTATTTGGCTCGATGGTTTAATACTGTTTTACGTTGTTCGTCTTTGGTTTATTTTGTCAGTATTATCCATTCAGTACGCATGCTACTACAAGTTGTGTGCTTGACAAAATTGATGGCTAGGAATCTTTGAAAACGTGAATCATTAGGTTTGTCTTTTTAGAATTATTTTAAAGGCAAAACTTAGTTCATGGTGAATATCATTATTTGTTTTATAATAATATGTATGAAATGAGATGATAATATACCCTTTAATACTTATATAATCGTATACGACCAGATTAATAGTATAAATTGCTTTAAGTTTGAGAAAGGTTTGTGAGAATATGGTCTGTCCAAAGAGTGTAAATTGGTGTAACGGTGAAAAATCATGAAAAGCCCATTTAATTAAACTCGATTTTATTAGACCTTTACTTTAACTCTTTAACCCCTTGAATCTACTTCATAAAAAAGCTATAAATAAAAAATTGATTAATGTAAAAACAAATGTTTTTAAGAGTCGGACGAGTTTTTTCCCGTTTTAAAACGAAATTGAATTTGATTGAAGTTGCTCATTTCATGCTTACACAAGTATTGGGATCTGATTTTCCTGTACTCCCATTTCCATTTTTGTTTTAATTTGTAAATCGGTGAACCTCACGAGGTCATGATAGCTCAAGTGGTAGAGCAGCGGCGTATCAAGCCGAAGATCGTGGGTTCGAATCCCGATCGTGCCATTGACTTTTTTATCTCAACTAAGAACCTTAATTATTTTATTATATTTTTTATTTCTTGATGTCTGATATTTAAACTTTTAACAATTTATTATAACCCTATTACATTCCGGGGTCAGATTGACCAAATAACTTCTTTCCATTAATTAATCTTTATGCAAGGCATTGGTTAAAATGAAAAATCGAACTCATGATAGCTCAAGTGGTAGAGCACCGGCATAATTAGCCGAAGGTTGTGGGATCGAATCCCGCTCGTGACACTAGCTTTTTCATTTCAATCAATGCCTTACATAAAGATTAATTAATTGAAAGAATTTATTATAACTTCAATTATCTTTTGAACTCACGTCCAAATAATTTTTCATTTTAATTTCTTCCTGACCGAACAATTATTGCAACATTGACATTAACATGGAATAACACGTATAAAAATGCTTTAATGGCTTTTATTTACTGTAAAATAACGATTACAAAGACCATTTCTAAAATCTGTATAAAAATTCTTACTAATATTTTTCAATGGTTGTGGATTATAAGTTTTTAATTACAAATAGACAAAATTTGTCTTGTTATAATTTCATCATATTCATGAAATTAGAACCAAAGGAATATGGGTGACAAGCAGAACATTGATACGGTCACTTAAGATTTTATTCTTCTAAAAATTAACAAAGCAATGTTTATAAAAAAGATATAATATTTTTAACAGTTTTTAAGTTTGTTTCAATCTTGAGAAACTGAGAATTTAATACATCGATTAAAGTAGTATGTTTTAAAATAACATAATTTGTTCAAAACTGTGATCGTTGTTTTATAATGAATCACAAAATCAACTCTGTTTCGTATTTTTTCCCCTAAGTAGATGATCCATGTTTCAAAATTTCCAATGACGCATAAACGTAACGATTTTTTTCAAACGTCATTCGTGAAACGTTAGCGATTATTTAAAACGAGAAAAAAACCGTGTTATGCTAGAATTAACATGCAAATGCCGGATCTATCAAAATTACAATCATGAGATAACTGACACGAGAGCTTTTTTTTCAAAATAAAACTCAGTTCGATGAAAACTGTTAAAAAACATTTTGACACATATTTGTATACAAAAGTTCTGAAAAATATCAAGGGGGAAAAGGTGCTGAGCTGTTACAACCAGTTCTTCAAGAAAGGGCATTTTAAATCCAAGGTTAATCGAAACGTTTACTTTTTTTTCATAAATGATTAAGTAGATGTTTATGTGCATGGCGGGTTTAACTCCACCAAAAATATTTCATTGATTTTTTCCAGATTTTTGTCGCGTAATTCAACTTGTTTTCCTACAAATTGAATCAATATTGCAAAAATAGTTATTCAGATATCGTGAGATGCGGTCGGGTGTGATGTAGGTTTCAGAAAAACATTTTCTTTATCGTGCCAACGTTTCGATCTTTATTGAGATCATCNTGAAGATGATCTCAATAAAAGATCGAAACGTTGGCACGATAAAGAAAATGTTTTTCTGAAACCTACATCACACCCGACCGCATCTCACGATATCTGAATAACTATCGATTAACGGTCACTAATCTCTACACATTGCAAAAATAGTGAGAAATAATTACAGCTAAATTATTAATAATAAGATCATGACTTCGATCCACTCCGACAACCAATACCTTATTTAAAGATTAATTATTATAGTGGATTTAATAAGTTAAATGAATTATATCTCCACTAAAGCTCTCTATGGCCATTTCATTTTTTCCGAGCATCGAATCCTGATTACCGGACATTTGAGAAATGGCAAAAAGGAGGGAAAATTCGAAAGGTGGGTTGAGATGGGAAGTTAGTGCCCGAGTGGATCGAAGCCACGATCGCTCAAGTGGTAGAGCAGCGCCGTATTTAGCCGAAAGTCGTGGGTTCGAGTCCCGCTCGTGCCATTGACTTTTATATCTCAACTGAAAACCTTAATTAATTTTAATATATTAATTGGTCAATTAATGATTTAAAATGAAGTATACTTCACTAAAGCTCTCCGAGGCCATTTCATTTGTCGACGAGAATCCAATCCGATTACACGACATTTGAAAATGGCAAAAAGGAGGGAAAATTCAAAAGGTGGGGTTGAGATGGGAAGTTGGTGTCCGAGTGGATCGAAGTCACGATAGCTGAAGTGGTACAGCAGAGGCGTATTTTGCCGAAGGTCGTGGCTTCGAATCCCGCTCGTAACAATAGCTTTTTTTCATTT